TCTATCCTGGTTGAGCTTTATAGCACCAGTCAAAGCAGTCAGAGAAGATTGAAGTGACAGAGGCCCACTGAGTAAATAGTGAAACATGCAGCACATCATGAAATATTCAGCCAGGGTGTAAAAGCTCTAAATGCTTTTTCAATTATTAGCACCTGCAGTGGCTGCGTACATCTAACACTAACAGCATGTTAATTGCCACAATTTGTTAGGGTAGTTGTAGGAGAAATTTCGAAGGCATGAGACATTCTTTAGTGTGTCTTCAATTCCTCTCTTACCTTCAGCAAACCCACTCCTTCCTCCTAAAATTAAGCACCTGTGTGCATACACTTGCTAAGACATACCCACAAACCTGAAAGTCACATAGGAAAACTCAGAATTCCTGAACCACAGGCAGGGTGTCTCTAAAGACCGTGAATCTTGTGCAGGAGACAGCTAAACATCTTTTTGTGCACGAAACCAGATATGTCTACCTGAGAAATGCACAATTGCAGGCTCTAACAAACACAGGTTGAAGAGGAGGAGGAGTGTTTTTCTCAGGTGTGCTTTTTGTTGGCTTTATATAAGGAGAATTTTATCAGAGGACAGAATCAAAACTAGCCAAGACATTGTCTTACTAGTGTGTAAAGACTAAGAGATTACAGTTTATTTTCATGCAACCCCAGGGTCCTTCCTGCTGGTCACACAGTATTCTTGTACCCTGTGCTCAGCACATGGAATAATTCCACTGCAAATCAGGGAGGGTATGTTGCTCTCATTCTCAACTGCATATGAATAATAGCAAGAGGGCTAAGACAAGGGTGACATAATACAAGGGTATGTTTAACAGTAGTCATTTAATGAGGCAGCCATTTAGTCCTGAATGATCTTTTCAGTTCTCTCCAATCCCAGTCAGTACCCAAAAGTTTCAGACTCAAAAACTCAGATTTTGCAGTGGTTATAAATGTGTACTAGGGAGACAGTCCTCTTTAAAATGTAATGTTGACTTCCTTGCAATAGGTTTGCTGTAAGTGGGATTTATGGTTTTGCTTTAGGCTGTTGTCTTCCAGGCAGGCTTTTTGGGTTTGCAGCTGTAGCATGGCATTTAGTGTCGTTTTCAAGTTTAATTGCACATAAGTGGCATTATATGCTCTTCAAAACCTTGAAAAGATGGTATTTTGCTCTTCATTTTAAGTCATGCGTATGTAATATCTGCCATAAGAACCAGAGAAGCTATTTTTAAACTGGGGTTATGGATGAGGGAAATTTAACTTTTGTTCCTTTCCTTCCATACAGGCTATACATGTCTTTTCCCAGCCAGAAGGACTAAATGCTTTGGTCATTGCAAGTCATAAAAACCAACATCTCAATTAATGCAAATACTAGGGTTTTAATTGACAGAAAGTGCATTTCTTCCTATGACTTGAATTCTTGAATCAGAGGACTTTGCAGCCCTGGAGAACATAATGAGTGCAGTGTTTCTGCAGTAACCTGCCAGTGTGACTCAAGCACAGCTTGACAAGGCCATCTTCAAGGATGAGGAGGCAGAGAGGCTCTAGAAACATTCAGTCCATGATTTGGCTGTAAGGGCAACAACTGTAATGCTTTGTGTAATATAAATTTTAATGGGAAAAGGGTGTCCAAATGCCTTAGGCAGATTTGACAGCTTTGGCCTCTCTGTGTGTCTATCTTAATTAATTTTTAGTGTGTGCAAAACAGGTTTGGATCATCAGATTAATGAGGGTGTATATGTCCAAAGTAGTAATACTATTTTATCACTGTTGTGATCAATTCAGTTTTTAAATATGTAAGTCAGTATATCTTGTGATACACTCAGTAACATCTGAGGACAAATTTGGACCTAGGCAGTGAAGAGTTTCCAAGGTCCAGAGACACATTCAGGGATCACTTTACTGAGAATGAAAGAACATTGATTAAAGAGAGATTAAAATAATATCTTAGCCAAGAAGATTTAAATTTAATAAACACACTTACATGAATAAACCCCACCTATTGTGAAACAGAATGTGGCTAGTCACATCACAGACTTCTCAGGCAATAATACATTATTCTGGAGTAAAAGTAGTAAATGCTTCCATGTTGTGTGTCCCATCCTGTTTGCTTCCTTTAAGGTTCACACTTGCTATACTTCAAGCAGTAAAGCAGAGTCTAAACAATTTATGACACTGCAAATAAATGCACATATTAAGAAACCCCAAATCCAAAGGTCTGTGTTTTTTTAAAAAAAAAATCACTGTTACCTAAAACTTCAACAGGGAGTTATATCTGATGATTCACATGCATTGTTCTTCCCTCAGCCCACTTAAGTTTAAGACTAAAATATTCCAATAAAGCTTTGGCAGAAGCTACTTTGAATGTTCCCAATTAGGATGCAAAGCCCAAAAGAACTACACTAAGCTTTAAGCACTCACACTCTAAAAATTGCCTCAAACCTCAAGGCAGTTGACCATAATTGGATGTCAGATATCTGATACCACCTGCTTTGTTATAACATTCCTTTCAATTTGTATCATTTTTGTGTCTGGGATTAGAGAATTGCTAAATGCTCACTTGTGTTAAAGCTCAGATCATCTATTTAATTTTACATCTCAGAGCAGAAAGGAAACACTGATTACAAAACTAGAATGTGACATTTTTTAGAAACTGATTTATTATAGTTCCTCTGATGAAAGATAGGGGAAAAGAAAATTCCTTCTTATAGGTGCTTGATTTCTGAAAGGAAAAGAAGGCGGTTTGACTGGTAAACATTGCTTTTGAAAAGTGAACCTTTCAGTGCTCCTCTAGAAAAACTCATGAAGAAATGTTTTGTTGAAGTATTGGGGGGAAAAATCCCTAACCCTTAAACAACAGAAAGAAAATCATTTCTTACTGAAAACTCCTGAAGATTTCTAATCTTTTGGCAAACTTTCTTATTTTGAAACACATAGCTAACACATTTAATTAGAAAAATTAGCTGGGACAGAGCATCACTGAATGTTGTCTGAACATTAATACAACCTTCAAATGGAAGTGTGTTCATGGCTGCAGATCTTACTGTACCACCTGCAACTCTGAGCAGATGGGGAATGGCAGCATCTCAGTCAGCTCTCAGACAAAACTACCATGGCTGCATCTTGCTGGTGGATGGAGGAAGAGAATGCTGAGTCCATATATTTTTCCAGAAATTAAAAGAAGCCAACAAAACAACAACCAAGCTCTCACAACAAACCCCTTTGATACAGCTTTTTCACCTCTGCTTCCTACAAAAGAGAGAGCACACTTAGGCAAGGCCTGTCATTATTCAGCTTGGACCAGGATCAGAGACTCCAGGTAGTCCTAGGGCTCCTCTGCTGCCAGTGGGTTACAGTGAAATCACTGAACTCTACCTCTATTGGGAGAATTTCAAAACTTTGAAAACACAGTGTTTCTTTTTTTCAGATGAGTCTGACTTACGTCTTTGCCATGTAGGGCATTGATTGTCTTAAAGTGTCAGAAGATTCTGATTTAAATGGAACATTGTGTTAATAGTTTCTCAAGTTTTTTTGAGCCACTTTCTTTGGCGTTGACCCTGTTTGAGTGAAATGCATGAGAATTTTCCTGTGATTTCAATGGGTCTGTAATCAGTGTCTATGAAATGACACATTCAGTGATCAGTAATTGATCACCCTGACTGAATTAGATGTTATACTTTTCATAGGAATGCAAGTGTTGGTTGCATGGTAACTTAGCATACCATGTTCAGGGTGAATTAACCTATATCACACACTATCTGCTATCACAGTCTGCTTTAGCAGTCCATGCAGAAGAGAGGGTCTCACCAAAGCCTGCTGGTTCAAATGTTTTAAAAGCAGGAAACTCCTGTTTAAAGAGCTCAGACAATATGGGCATTTCTTTAACAGGCTTCAAAGGGCAAACTGCTTTAAAATTTGGGTACCTGTCTCTGACTACTTAGCATAATCTTACATTGCAAATACTTTCTTTGAAATGTTACAATTCTATGTCAAGATATTTCAAGCATTCATGACAAAAACCTGAGGTAAAGACTGTAGCTTTCCAGACAAAGCACTATTAAATCATGCTAAATAGAAGATTTTAGGGTCAGTTTACCCTGTACCTTGTGAATACAATTCTGCTAATGCTATTGTATAATGCAGTCACTTAGGGGTCTTCACCAGCATGTGAAGAGTGTTGGAGTCACTTAGTACTTAGCCTAATGTTTGATTTTAGCATATAAATTAAAGAACTCTATGTGTCTGTGCTTAGAGGTAGCTTTATAGCTGGAGAGCAAGTTCATAAAAATGTCTTTCATTTGCTTCTCCTTTGAGAAGCCTTGTGCTTTAAAATGTTGCAGCAGAAACACTTAGAAGGTTATCACAGGTAGACTTGTCAGAGAAAATGGACATTGTTGTTTGGTATTAAAATCATGTATTCCAGATATGGGCATTTGTTAGTCAGTCTGCTCTAAAATGACATACTGTTGAATCTTTAAAGGGCTTCAGTTTGGGAAAGCAAAATATGATTGGGCAAATTGCTAAAATATTTAAAGTGCAGCCTGTTAAAGCTTTTACTGTGAAGAGCATCACGTCAGAAGTTGTATGTGGTAAAAGCAAGTAATTGGCTTTCCATACTTATGCCAGTCAGTCAGCATGGGGCTCTGTTCCTATCCCTTCTACTTCACTGCAGATGCCTATAGGAACTTTGATACTTATTTCAGAGGGGTGGTACTGGAAAAAAAAAAACTTTGTATGGGTGTGATGATGTCAGAAAAAACCTATTTAAAATTAAATGGTTATTGATATAGAAGACCATAGAAAGTCATTGAAACTGCACCCAACATTTAATTTTAATTTTTTTTTGTATGAAGCTTTTATTTTAAAATGTCCTCATTGAAAGCATGTTAAAGTGTAAATAATTTCATATTTTTTTTACTTTTATCCCTCTTTATACACAGCTCTTGGGATATCTTTCCATCCATAATTTATAGTATTTTCCATTTATGTTGTCCTCAACTTGTTTTTCCCCAGGCATGACCCCTTGTTAATTCCTGGCAACGAGCAGATTGACAATATGGATGCCAACGTGAAAAAATATGATTCTACAGGGATGTTTCATTGGTGTCCAGCCAAAGACATTGAAAAGGTCATTTTGGTAGGTATTGATGATAAGTTGTGTTTGAAAAGAGGTTATTTAAACTGTAGAACTGATGTCTAATGGATAAATAATTTAGTCTCTACTGTCACAAAAACCAGTGTATTTGAAATCAGGAGCAAGAGTGATGAAACCAAAGCTGGGATTTTGGTTAAGGAATTTTGATTACATAAATCTTTTTGCCCAGTGCAACAATAAAAAATCCATCCAGTGTAGCAAATTTCTTTTTTGTAAACTGAAATTTGCGTATTTGGTTTAAATCTTTAGAGAATTAAGATTAGAAATAATTAAATCTTACATACCCCACCTTTTTCTTTACACAAGGCAGTAATGATTCTAGCATGGGCAGGTGTGGTTTTGACTTACCTTTTATTTATTGATGTTTTATTAATTATTGTTAATTGATTTTTTATTAATTTTGTTTTCTTAGAACTTCTCTCTCAAATCCCAGTATTTCAAGACACCCAAATAAGCCAGAGCAAGTAGTGCTCCTGCTGCAGGGAGCCCTGTCTATGTTTGTTTCATTTCTTCAACTGGGAAAACCATCAAACTGACTCAAGTCATTAAAAATAATTTGGAGGCCTATCACAGTCTATTTTGAAAGTTTATGCCACTTGTGTTCATGTACTCATACCTAAGAGTAGCAAGTAACTAACCCCAGATCTCGTAGGCAAAACTGATTATGTTTGAAATGAACTCCCTGGTGGATCTTCACTTTGTCTCACTTCATAAAGCTTTTCCCAAGCCTGCTCTCTCAGATTTTCCTGCACTGTGGCGTGGTGTAGCCAACGATGGTGACAGCCCCAGTTATTCCAGCAATCAGGGGTTAAAAGCTTGTCTCCAGTTCTCCTCAGGGGTTTCTGCTATAACTCTGACATTGGCTGGAATCACAACATCACTATTTAAATAGTCAAGCAAGTAAATTCCAAATTTTAGAGATGGAGCTTTGAGATGGAGTTTGCCTGAACAGCTTTAAAAAGTATCATTTATTTGTAATCAGCAAGCAAGAAGGGGTAGCCCTGCTGTACAACACTTTCTAATAGAGATAGAAATCCTTCTTTGTGGTGGAAACACATTTTAGCTGACAAACTACATGCTGCCCTACTTTGAAAAGTGTTCCTCCACAAATGGTGCTGGGGAGTGACTCAGTCATCATCTCTTGGTTATGCCATGTTAGTTTTTTCCACTACCAGCCTGTGAATCTGCAAGTCTGCCCAGGTTCTTTCTGCTTCATGCATCATCACCAATAAAAACACTGCCAGCAAAATGCTTCCCTACACCTTTTCAAGCTTGCAGTCCACAATTTATGTCTACATTCATATCTATGCAAATTTAATGCTGTCCATAGAGACCACACAAGTACAAATCAGTGCATAATTTGAAGATGACAGGATTTCCCAGGTTGTCTTCTAATTGATACTTGATGATGTCCAAGTCAGAAAAGAATTAATTTTTCTGCCCAAGGTCTGTTTTGGCCCTGTGACATTCCGGCAGTATCAGGTATAAGAAGGGAATTTTGCCGTATGTGGCTACATACAGACTTAGGAGTGATTTATGGAGTGGCATTTTTCACATACCTGCTTTCTAGACTTGGTGTCTGTCTTGTAAAGTCTGAGTATTCCAGACACATGGGCAGAGGCATGGGACAGCAGACATGCTTCATTTGATGATTCACTCATGTCTTCTGCTCTTTGAAGGGCCAAGACAACTCTCTTGGTCAAGCTGTATGAAAATCAATGTAATTGCCCTGGAGAAATTGAAAGCTCATGCATTTTTTAAGTGATGAGAAAACTTCTAATCAGAGCTCCCATTCTTCTGACATAATGAGCATATCTGCTGCATATTCCAATCTTAATTGCACACCACCATGCTTCTGTAATTTAGAAAAATGACATATACTGCGGATCAGTGAGAGGAAAATTTTGCAGATCACCACTGTTTTCATTTTGTTCATTGGCAAAACTTCTGTGTAATGGTACAGAGTGTACAGTCTCTTGGCAATATGGTATCAGTGGTACACCAGCTACTTGATGGAGCACAACAATGCCAAGACTGGCTCCAGAAATTAAGGTAATTTTTTCCGTGTGACTTTATTTAATCATCTTGGTGTTTGAGTTACCTGCTCAACTGAAGTAAAAAATGCTGAAGTTAGGGCAAAAATTTATTCTTCCACTGAGACAAGAAGATAATTCTGGACACTGTTTAAACATTCTCCATGAGCCCTTTTCCCTCAGTAAGTCCAATTGGCCTGAAAACTTAATATTAGTCACAAACTTGCACCTTTATTTTGTCACTGAGAGAAGCTCATAAAATGGGCATCCATTGTAAAGCAGAGCAGTGTAGAGCATTCGTGGATTGTTTCACAGGGAAACAGGAGCTTGTCCTGAAATGGGAGCTTTGACTCTAAGAGACTATGGTCCTCAACTCACAAGAGCTGAGTAACATCACAAAGCCCTGCTAGGAACACTGGACACTTAACATCTTCATTTTCAAATTGCTCCTGAAAAAACCCCAGCTAGTGATTTGTCAACTAGGGCATGATTTTGCATCTCTTTCCTATAATCCTTAGCTAAACCCACAGCACTTTGTAACCAGAGTCACAGTCCACATGTACAAAAACTTGAACAAGACTAGAATTTCACCCAATATAATGTCTCCTGAAATGCCAAAGGATTTGCAAACAAGAACAATTTAATTTTTTTTTCTGCTGAGCACATTTAATGAAATATAAATAAGGGTAAAATGAATAGCTGTTCTCAAACTGCTTCTTTGTGCATGAACAATATTGACAGTTGTATTTTTCCTGGTTTTAAACTCAATATATGATTTAAGATTCCCTTTGTTTCATTTTTCCCTTGTCTTTTTGTTTTGTTTTGTTTGTTTTTTTTTTAGACTCGAAGTGAAGCAGCGATGACAGTTTTAAGTGGGCATGTAGTCGTTTGCATATTTGGGGATGTTAAATCTGCTTTGATTGGATTAAGAAATTTAGTGATGCCATTACGAGCCAGCAACTTTCACTACCATGAACTCAAGCATATTGTGTTTGTGGGTTCACTTGAATACCTGAGAAGGGAATGGGAGACACTGCATAACTTCCCCAAGGTTTCAATCTTGCCTGTAAGTTCAAAAGCCATATTATTGATACTTTGTTATTTAGGACACCAACTGGACAGATTCGTATTGACTTTGATCTTAGGCTTTTTTACTTTTGTCTACTTATAGGCCTGAGGACTTAGATTTTCCCTTTACTGTGTCTATGAAAACAGAGCCCTGTGAGACCTTATTAGAAGATATTTGCTGCAGTGTTTGGTTCCTCATCATCCTCATTGGATGAGTTTCAGCTGCTATCAGATGTATTAGCTGTGTTATGTATTGAACATTCACTGTAGTGCCCTGCATGGAGTCGGTTCTGATCTGTGATTTCCCTGACAGAATGACAGCAGTTATTTATGATGTTGTTTATGTTTTTATACCCACAAAACCTTTGAAAAAATTATTGTTACTCTGTCTACGTAATATATATATATATATATATATATATGTATTCATAAAGACTTCCTGTGGACTGGCCTGCTTTATAAGGAACATTGCCATGGCATTTCAGTTCAGAGTCCTGTGTGGACGTACAGCAAAACTCTGACCCTTTTTAAATCAATGAAAAGCTGCTATTGATCTTAGTAGACACAGCCACTAAAACTGCAAAGGTCCTTTTTCTTCTGTACATCATTATGATTCACTCTTAAGAGCAAAATGTAGAAACAAGAGCTCCAGGAATAACAAATGAAGCCCTCCAAGCTGATGTTCTAAGGTGACCATAGCTATAAATGACACGTGGGAGCCCATGGTATCAGCATGGAAGAAAATGCATGTTATATAGTAAAGTTAGTTCAGATTTTATTTTTTAAGAATGAAAAATTATGAGTTTATTAGCTCTTAGTATGATTTCATTTCAGCATTTAAAAATAAATCAATCAATGATGAATGTAACCTTAACTGAATAATTGGGAAAATAGCTGTAGAATGAAAGGGCTGTCTTTGCTTTTTGATTAATTCAGACTGTAGGTCTTTGTTACTGTAAATGCAGTTTTAGTGTTAGCCCTTGGCATTTTTCTGTAACCTGATCCAACAGATGGTGTCACAAGATTCTCTGCTGTCACAAAAATGGTGTCAATATCAGATTTGGTCAGTTAATATCCTTCTCTTTCTGCCAATTCCTTTTAATTCCAGTCACTGTGAAGGCTAAAGACTAGGGAATCAGAATGAAATTGATAATACTGTTGAACTACTGAGCAGAATAGAATCCTACTACTGCTTCCAGTATATAAAGTGTACTCATCACTATAATGTGTTTTTGCAAAGTTTTGATTCTGAATTCTGAAGAGACATTAAAGAAATGCACACCAGCTTTACTTTCCCCAGTTTACACCAAAATTCAGAGTAGCTTTAGATTAATTTTTATTTGAATGGCTTAAATAATTAGTTGATACAGCTTTAAAAGCACAGAATTTTATAAAGGAATTATATCTTACATAATAATCAAGGGTGCTGAAGACCACACAGACTTCATTACTTTTTCTTCCATTTATTTTTCCCAGCCTATCTGGTTCAAAATGGTGATATAATGTTAAAAATAGCAGCAATTTCTGATCTAATTATACTAATTTCAAAATGTACTTAAGTTTCTGAGATTATACTTGTAGGAGCCTGTTAAAGGGAGGCCACTCTCATACTTCTCCATGCTTTGGTTCACGAGGTAAAACTTGCTGCTGATATCTGATGGAGATGTGGTTACAGCTGAATAGAAAAACGTTTGTTCTGGTTTAAAAAAAGTAAATTAAAGTGGAATTTAAAGTCTGTATTAAAAGAAGCCTTTAAGCTGCTGAGTAAACTCTTAAAAAGTAGGCAAATGCCAATTTTAAATATCCTCAGGCAGCCTTAATTCTGTCCCTTTGCATAAAATCATTAGGAGTCAGCCTTTAATTAATTGCACAATTGCATATTATTTTTCCCCACAGAAATCCTGCTTCACTTGGTGCACAGTACAGACAGAAAGGGCAGGATTAAAGTGGCTGGAATAATCATAATCTAACTTTGGAGTAGTTTATAATGAAATCATGTATGTTTGGTACATACTGTTTTTCACAATGTTTAATGTCTCAAATTATTTAAAGTTACATGGAATAATTAAACTGGCAATCACTGAATAAGAATTGAGGTCTTCCTTTACTGTGTGCATTTTGAATTCACTTTTGCATCGAGTATTCTCAGTGGATTTCAGGAGATACCATGAATGATCAGGAGATGAAAGACTAGGGTCTTGATTTTACAGAAGTCACTGCATGACACTGAGACAGTTATGTCTTCTCATCATTGGGGTCTTTGGGCACCAAACCATGTGAGGCAAAAAAAAAAGAAGTGAATTTCCTGGACCTCACAACCCGTGTAATGTAGTCTTAATATTCTGTAACTACAGCTATAGACTGTGGAATGTGAAAGGCAAGTGTAATTTTGAACAAAAAAAAAATCATGTTAAGTGTCATGTCTCAGGTTTGTTAACTATGAAAAAAAATCCATAGGCCACTGCAGCATTTTGTTTTAATGATTCTGTCCTCTGATTGAGGATTGTGGAACAGGGAACATTGCACAAGTTGTGCCCATTAGTATAAAGTCCTGTTTCTGTTTCAAAGGGTTTAATCACACAGCTTTGAAGCTCAGTGTGTTTTCCTTCTAGAAGCACCAAAAGCGTGCTTCGAAAAGGATTAACCTTTTCTGTGTATTGCTTTAGGTAGAAAAAAATAGCTTTGTCCTGATTGCATTTCAAATGTGCAGGACACGTAATGCTTTCCTGTTTAAATTGCTGTTCTTTTGCCCAAGACCATTGAGAGTTGGTAGGAGATAAATAGACATTTAAAACACCCCCCTTGTTATATTCAGAGAGCCAGAGGTTGCCACATGATAGCAACTTAAATCAAGACAATTTCAAGTCACCGATGAGATGTAGAATGCTGGCATTATTCCTGTTTCTTGTTTGTTAGTAATAGCTTGACTGAGTATTGAGACTGAACCTAAAATGCTGCCATCAGCACCAACTACCCTTTAGATTAGCACACATCTCCTATTCCCTGGCACATAGTTAGACCAGCTTAATGTCAGAGCATAAAAAAGATACTTGTTAAATAATTTCCCAAAGCTCCTTCTCAATCTTTAATTTGTTTTTCTTTTTTCCCCTCTTCTGCACCCCCCTTTTTTTTTTTTTCCCTGTGCCGAAGGGTACACCATTAAGTCGGGCTGATTTAAGGGCTGTCAACATCAACCTCTGCGACATGTGCGTTATCCTGTCAGCCAATCAGAATAATATTGATGATGCTTCGCTGCAGGACAAGGAATGCATCTTGGCGTCACTCAACATCAAATCTATGCAGTTTGATGACAGCATTGGGGTCTTGCAGGCTAATTCCCAAGGTAAGGACTGCCCTATAATACTTCTCTGCAGTGCCTACAGGGGACAGGACCTGGCAGGAAGAATATCCCTCACTCAGTAATTCAAAGAGCCCTACATCAGCTTGCTTGACAGTTAAACCTGCTGATTGGTATGATGGCTTTTAAAGGGACAGTCACGTAGTTTCTCTGCTACATCACAAAGCACATCTTTCAGAGGAGAAATGAATGAACATGAAACTGGCATTTTTTCTCATTTTAAAATTTTCCTAGATAATACATAAAAACGTCGTTTTCTCACTGTGGCTTCCTTTACAGGGTGAGTTGCTGTTATATAACCAGAGATAACTTGCAGTTATTCTTTGGAATACCTGAAGTTTCTGTCTAACAAAATTTCTTTTTATGTAAAACACATTGCAGCTACAGAGAAAATACAAGTTTGACTAACACAAGCCAAAAAGTAAAATAAAAAGAGCAAGAACTTTAAGTTTTCTCTGCAGTTTTGGCGCCTTCTTGCTCAAGAAGCCACTGAGAATTAACTGAAAGCTTATTTCTTCCCATGGTTTGACATGTACTCATCCCATTTAAAGACACTGAACAAAATCTTTCAATCTTTCCTGAGAGTAGGGGACTGATTCATAGGTAGCCAAAGGCTATTTTACACCATCTGTGCCTGTGCAAAGCAGCTGCAAAGCAGTCATAAGCACCCTGGCAAAGACCATCAGTGTAAAAACAATCATCTTCCCATCCCTGAAGGGTCTTGCAGCTTATGCAGCTGAAGTCCTACCTTTGATAAACCTATTAACTGCAGCAGTAAATATTCCCTCTGGATCTAGTTCTGCTATAAATGAAGGTGGAAAGGATTGTGCTTTGGTCTGCAGTTTCCCTGAGAGCCTGATCTAGAGATAGTTTTCCCTCAAGGACTGTGAGAACTAAGTTTAAGTTCAGGTTTTCCTCTTTACACTCTAATCAGGAAACAGGAATTATGTGCCAAAAATTAGAGGCTGCAATGTAACTTCTTGAATATAGAAACTTGAGCATAAGAAATTCTTAGAAACAGCAATAACATAGTGGAATTTAATACTGGAATTAAATTGTACCAGGAAGCTAAAAGTTTGAAGTTTTCAAAGTCAAACTGGACAGTTTTCTGGATAAAAAGTAGATTTAGAGAAGAAAAGGAAGAAACTAATTGTTTTCAACCCCGTGAGTGCTGAAAGTTTCAAATCTGTGGTCTGGAAATAACACAACCCCAAATATTTTAGAGTTCTTTCCTCATAAATTTGGGAGACTGACTTGCTCACACTCTGATGGCTTATAGTCAGGATTTCAAAACTCATTGCAGAAGTTGGACACAGGCACAGAGGCTCCTGGGATTTGAAATTCTGTATCGAAACTAGATCTGTACTTTCACTACCAGGCTAATGGCTATTCTTTGATGAAACTCTTTCCTATCACACACATAATTAAAATAATCAAGAATATCTTCTTAAGGACGAACAGTCTGAGAGAATTTTCTATCTTTGCTCAGAAGTTAGAGATACTTCCAGCACTTGACTGTTGTATTTTACCTCTGGGAGTACACAGGGTCAGACCATCCCTCAGCAATGATAGAGAAACCTGTCAATAACCAGTCTCGTGCACCACATGAACACCTGTCATTTTTTACTCTCCATCCTTGGAGGTATTCAAGACCTGACTGCATAGAGCTCGAAGAAGCTGATCTGACCTCCTTGTTGACTCTGCTTAGAGAAGGAAATAAGACCAGAGATCCTCCAATGTCCCTTCCAGACTGAATTGTTCTGTGACTCTCTAATACCCAGGTTGTTGCTACAGCAATAGCTCCCGTAGGTCAGGAAGTGTACACTGGCCATAGTCCAAATCCCTTTAGCCCTTTTAAATGTGACTGATGCAGACAAGAAGAGGAACAATAGGTGAGCACATTCTTAGAAATTTTTGACATTTCTTCAGGTAAATATCAGACTGCATTCTAAGAAATAAAAGGTGACTCTTTCCATAGCTGTCCTGAGGTAACAGGGTATAACATAAGGCAGGTAACTAGCAATCAGTTTTAATTGATTAAGGAGGGGTTCTTGCAAGCCCAGTTCCTTCAGAAAATAATTGTCTTCACAGTAAATTCTCTGTTTATGAAATCCACAACTTCTGAATTGGTTGTGTTCCTTTCAATACAGTAAATTTTCATGAAAGACCTTGAATAAAATGATTAGACTGTCAGAAGCAGTTAAATCAGTCGATTGCACAAACCTTACTGGAAATGATATGCAATGTGACATTTTTGTCTGTGAAATGCAGCTTTAGCATACGGCAGACACAACTATCATGACAATTACATAAACTAGGTGATTCAACTTTTGCTGGTCAACATGCAGCATATTAGAACAAACTCACAGATTCTTACTGGCAATTAACTACCTTTATTTACAGAGCAAGTTGTCATTTTACATTTGTGTATTGCTTGACATACTTACCCTTAACACATTGGCTGGTACAAACTTCCAGTATTGCCAGCCTGACTTTTCTAGATCTTAAAGTGTGATTTTGAATCAAGACATACTCATCAACATCATGCTTTGGATCTCCTGTGTTGTTCTTTTATGTTACTTCTGTTACTGATCATCAGAAGCACTGGCATTAGAAAATCTGGAGGTGTGGCAGAAGGTCAGTTGACCTATGACAGGGTGTTGAAAAGAGAAGAAATAAAAAAATATATGAGCAGTCGAAGCAATGTATGGGCTGAGCTACAAGATTTTTGGTGAGGGATTTAACAGTATGACCTTACCCTTGCTATTCTGAGTAAAATAGTATTTATTATATATATATAATTATGTAGTCACTAAGCAGTGGAATCTCATATGAAAACCTGATATATAGTTTATGTTTACATTTCTGAAAAAAAAAATAGTCATTTAATTGATAGGTTATTGAATATACAAGGATCTTTCTAGTTTGTATCTCTGGTTATTTCATCTCAGCTTTAGGCAAAAGATGACACTGGTACAAGAAGGGTGCTATAAAAACAGGATGCAAATTTATTTAACCATCAGATAAGCCGTAATTGTTGACAAATACTGAAATACAGGGCTATATCTACAACTCCTTTGCTTTAAGTTGGTAGCCGGAAAAGAATCCACAAATGTTGGGATTTCATTCCCTTTTTCCTATAGCTTCATCCTCATCACCTGCTATAACACCAAAGTCACTCTCAGCCCTAGGCATATAAAGATCCATCACTAGCCAGCCCTCTGGATCCACCCACACATGCCCTCTGCAGCCAGGGACATAGTGTTGAAATGGAACCCAGGTCCAATCCGACAGGAAAGACCCTGCAGAAGGAACAGGTGGGTGGATACATGACTTTGCTGAAAGGGAAAGTTATTTAGCAGTAGGCATAGCAGTTCCCAGTGGATTAAGTTAACTGCTGAAAAATCAGCTCTGAATTAATCTGGTTTGAATTAACAAAGGATTTTCTCACTTCTAGTTCAAGACCAACTTAAAACACTCACAGCCATTCTCATACAGAAATGAAGACTTGATAGTACCTCCTTATGGTGTTAAAATATCCCCAGGTTTTTGAACTGGTTAACAGTAATTATCTGGACCTTCTATAAGTAGTGCAGCAGCATTTTTGTCCTCTGGTTTGCCTGTCTTGGGTCATAACTGATCAGGCCAGAATTGCATTTTATCCAAGCACAGTGCTCTGCCTCAACCTTCCATGGAAGAAAAATCCAGCTCCAAGTTCCAAGACATAGGAAAAAAATAATAATCTGGACCAGAGCTACAAATGACCTGGCATATCCAGAGGGGATGGCAGTAAACTATCTAAGTTGTCAAATCTATGTTCATCTTCAGCTGTCTGGCAACAGACGACCAAATGCATGGCTACACAGAACTGTGTGTGGAAACAAGCTGTCTTCCCAAGGAAGAAAAGCTTACTAACAGTCCTGGAAGGATTTTCTGATCTCCTTTACATAAAATGTGTACTTCTACTCAAGAAGCTCTTTCAAATTAAACCTGTGCTGTTCAAAGTTCTCGTGTTGAAAGTGTTCTCAGGACTGTCTGCATTGATCGTTCAGAGCTGACCGGGCTGACCAAAGCTCTGTGGGCTTGCTAGAGGTTAGGGCTGCAAACTCTAATGTCCTGAAAATGAGCTTTTGGAAATCATCAGGGCAGTTCATCGCTTTTGGGAGACCTGGAACCTAGATTCCAAGGACAGAAAGGCCAAAGTGTATCCCACTGAAACTGCAGGAAACTATTTTTTCACTAAGATATCTCAGATTTGAAGTACAAAATATAAAGTGGGAGATTGGCCCACCTCTTCACAAAATTATTTCTAAACTCAACCAAATGTTTGATTTGTGACAAGGAAGCCCTGTTTATCTTGATTTCCTCTGATAGATCTTGACTGTCTTCCTAGAAAGATCTGTAAAGAGGTGTGTGTTTGTGTTGGAGAAAAAGTCACCCCCAAGTACTGGCGATTGGTTTTTATTGTCCTTTCTGTTTCTTATTCTGTTCTCTCAAACAGAAATTCAGATTATTTCATCAAGAACTATTTTGGAGAGATAATATTGAGTCCATAGCCATAACATGTGCTTCTCAGTCATAACATTTTTCCAAAGAACCTGGGAGGACTGAGTATATGATGGGACCTGCCTTGGCTGTTTAACTGGGAGACCTCCAGTAATTTTCCTTTCCTTCATTTTGTTGCCATTTCCATCCTTCCTTCTTCAAGTATCATCTATTGACTATTCCCATTTAGTTTTCATGTTTCTTGTTTTTTTCTCAGAGTCCTACTTTGTGGGAATTTTATTTGTTATTTTATCCACCAGATGAACACGGCCCAACACAAAATATTTATCTTCAGTTGTAACTAAAGCTGCTATTTGGCTTTCTTCCCAAAACCCAGAAAGACAATTATACCTAACTGTTTAGAGATTTATAAATACTGTACCAGAGTAGCCTCTGGGTAGTAACTTTAGATATCCAACTCAATAATTTTCTTTTATTGG